GATCAGAGAGAATCGCTCTCCAGAGAAATCCATCAATCTGTTCCACTGTCTGAATGAACTGGGTGATGATTCACTGATGCAGGAGATCCAAGATTATCTGAAATCTGGACGAATAAGAAAAACCAAACTCTCCCCTTCACAGTGGTCAGCTCTGGTTTATGTGTTGCTGACATCAGAGCAGAAGATGGATGTGTTTGATCTGAAACAGTTTATTGGAGAACAACATACAGCAGATGAAGTTCTTCAGAATCTGTTACCTGTGGTTAAAGAATCCAGATCAGTTCGGTAAGTAACACTGAAAACAATCACTGCACTTTCAAAACATGATCACATTTATGATTCTAGCATGGGCTTTCTTACCAAAGAAACAAAATGGAGAAAATCACCTTGGACCCCTTACACCCAGTCCACTCTCTCTTGAATTGTTGCCTTCTGGTCGTTTTGGCAACTCAGCAACTGCCAGTTTTTTTACCGCATGCTATATTCAGCCTAAAAAATTAAAATTTCATAATTATACATCATCCATCATAACTGACATATTTATACACAGAATCAAATTATACACCGAATCCAAAATTTGTACACTTGTAAACTGCACACTTTGTAAATAACATATCTGCACACTTATAACATATCTTTAGATTTATTTAAACAATTACATTTTTTTCATATACTTCTATTTCTGTTTATAGTACATTATTTAAATTTGTTTTTTTCCCCCTTACATATAGCAGCACAACCTTCATCTATGACACCAAAATAACCCAAACTGTACATTTTAATGAATGTGAACAATGAACTGACACCAGCTTCAATTAAAGAAACTAAATGTGAAAATTTAGGAAAATGCGAATGTCATTCATACAGACAGTAAAACATACATATAAGCATCATTAGAGGACAAACAGTCCAAATCTATTAGCTGTCAGTTTTGACTCCCCTTTATCTTCATCTTTCACACTGAGCACTGATAGTGCAGGAATAACTGATGACAGGCCGTTGAATTATTAGAAATTATACAACATTTACTTATTTTCCTTTAATCAGATTGGCTGAGAGCCAAGAGTTTGTTTAAGTGTTTTCGGAGATGTGAGCTTCAGGTCGTCAGTGGCCATTCAGCGCTCACCCACTGAGAGCAGCCTTACCTCTCTCAGTACTTCTGGAATTTGCCACTGGCTCTGTTGTCTCTATAGTGGTATACAGAGTGTGAGAGGAGTTGTTCAGTGTGTTTGAAAGCTGATTCCACATCCTCCCCTCACCCACCTGCTCCACTGAGTCCAGAGGACAGACCAAGCTAGAGTTGGCCCTCTTAATCAATTTGTCGAGCCTGACCTTATCCCTCACCGTGATTCCACCTCTCCAGAAGACCACAGCATAAAAAGTTACTGATGCAACTACCATAACATAAAATGTTTGCAACAGTGTCCTATATACCCCAAATGACCTCATTCTCCTCAACAAATTGAGGCGACTTTGGCCCTTCCTGTACAGAGCATTCGTGTTATCTGACCAATCCAATTTATTGTTTATGTGAACACCCAAATACTTTTACACGTCTAGCCCCTGGATGTTTACTGGTACAGTATGTGAGGCCTTCCTATGGAAGTCAATCACCATCTCCTTTGTCTTGGTGGGATTGATGCGAAGGTGATTAAATTCACACCAGTTGAGAAAGTCCTTGACCACCTTCCCATACTCCAGATCATTCCCATCTGATACCCATCCATAATGGAAGTCTGATGTGTACAGGGTAAACAAGAAAGGGGAGAGCACTGTCCCCTGTGGAGCCCCATGCTGCAGAGCACCTTTTCAAGCCTCACATACTGTAGTCTGTTAGTGAGGTAGTCAATGGTCCACTCAGTCAGCTGACTGTCGACTCCTGCCCCTTCCAACTTCCCTTTGTATTGTATTAAAATCACTGGAAAAATCAAAGAACATGACCTTCACAGTGCCTCTAGGCTCCTCAAGGTGCGAGAGGGATCTGTGCAGCAGGTAGATGACAGCATCATCCACCCCAATGCCTGGTTTATATGCAAACTGCAGGGGGTCTGTCTTTGGGCTTACCAGTGGTCGGAAATGGTTTAGTATCAGTATGAAGTGGTTAGGCTCTCTGGGATATGCAATCTTCGGTACTGGAACCACACAGGAATTTTTCCACAGAACAGGAACTTCTTCCAGACTAAGGCTCAGAACCCCCTGACAGAGCTGGTCTGCACAGTCCCTGAGCAGTCTGGAGCTAATACTGTACGGACCTGTAGATATTCTCGTCTTAATTCTTTGTAGTTATGCAGAGGCTGGGAGAAGAGGTGAGGGTAGATAATGGGGAGGCAGGTTGAGTGAGGTGAGGTGAAGCATATGTGATAATGTGAAAATCCAACTATGCCACCCTAGGAATTACACCCAGGGAAAATACTCAAACAACTCAAAAATTGTGTGATAAAGCACACAGGTTCAGTTCCCTCATAGAATAGGTTAGGCAGAAAAAGTACCAAACACTCACAGTGTTACACAGCACACAATGAAGAAGAACCACCACCACAAGGAGGAAGATCCATTCACCCGTGGGACCCCAGCTCCTGCAATAAATCAAAAATAAATGAATAAACTATAAAACAGAATTGAGGCACAATGCAATATGGACATCAATTAATTGATAAAGCAGCTACTCACAGAAGTGAGTATCAATGTCAGACAGAAACAATGAGGGAGAAACAATAAAATATTAGGATGATCAAATAGTTGGTCACATGCAACTGATATAAGGCAAACACAAAACAAATTAACAAAAGGAATAAAGAAAAAAATAAATCAACCAAACAACACAAACTTTACTTCCACAGAATTAAAGGAAAACAAAGAAAAAGGTTTAATGGGTCAAAACAAGAAGGAGACAGAGCACAGTTTTATCTCTTATGAAAATGGAGAGAGATGGTCATATCTCCCATAACAAGTACACAATGTGAAGCGGAGCACTAAGATGATACGATAAGAAACAGACAGAAGCAGTCCCCTTTAAATAATGGCGACGACGGCGTCTGCACGGCAGTATAAACAGCAGCACTTTAGCAGCGCGAAGAGCAAAACAGCAGCAAACATAGAACGAGAAGGAGAATCCTACAGCGAACACACAAGGAGACATTACTAATCATCATGTTGTCACCCACTCCCAATTATAGTTGCGTTTAAAACACTTACCGTTAGATTATCACGCCAGATAGATCACTTTACAGGCACTAGGTTATCACAGTCATGCCCACCGATAGCACAATGGGATACAGGAAATCATGCCTATTTAGCATGCAACAAAATGTTAACCCCACATAAACGAAAATACTAGCCCAATACAAGCGAGCTCCTAAAAATACAAATACCTGAAAGGCG